AAAGTGGGCCTGATAAGTTAGCTTTTTAAAAGCTAATACAGCCTCTTCTGGACTTGTATTTTCAAATTTGACAACGCTTTCTTTTTCATATGCAAAAATAGATATAATTGCCAGAATCTGAAGGCTGGGTAGCTTATCCTTTGTCGTGAGAAGAATTTGGAGGAAACGACTAAAAGTTTACGTAAACCTCCATAACTCAGAAACTAATTAGAGTTGGAGTCCCCAACTTTGAGAATAAATTTATCTAGTAGTGGTGGAATTTTGACCTCAAAATGAACTTCCTGTGACAAATATTTCTAGGACATGCAAGTTTCACTTGACAGTATCCTTAAGGTTACAAAATTGACTTTTATTAGCCACAGCAATTTTCATCCTTCCAGCATTGGTTGGATCAACTTTCATATATTACCTTGCCCGCACTGCGCACAAAGAGGGAGGCGAGGGGTATGGGAGTGAACTGCTAAAAGCAAATTCAGACCAGGAAGCCCTTTTTTAAGAAATAAGACATCTCAATTTTAAGCTCACCAAATTCCTAAATTTCAGAGTCCAGCGGTCTTAATACCAATTCAGACTAGAGGTCTTAATCCATATTCAGACTTGTGGTCTGAATTCACAGGTCTGAATTTTCAGACCGCATGTTTCTGAAAAAGTTGGTCTGAAAATTAGGAGTGCCTTTTGCGAAATTTTCTTCAGTTCATTTAGTCTGAATTTTCAGAAATTTTTTTTAACAGTGAACATGCCCGGGCAGTTCTCGTCTGCCGCGCTGCCGCCGCGCTCGCTTCACTACCACGCCTCGGCTAAGTGCTGCCAATAGTCCTGCCAACCAACCTTTCGCCGACTAGGGCTGCCGACTTAGGTTGACGACAAGGGCTGCCGAAGCCTACTAGAGCTGTCGACTTGGGCTGCCGACCAAGGCTGATGACTAAGGCTGCAGACTAGGGTTGCCGACAGACTGTCGACAAGGGCTGCCGACTAGGGGTGTCGACTAGAGCTCGCCGACAAGGGCTGCCGACTAGGGTTGTCGACTAAGGCTGCCGACAAGGGCTGCCGACGACTAGGGGTGTCGACTAGAGCTCGCCGACAAGGGTTGTCGAATGGGGCTGCCCACTGGGGTTGCCAACTAAGGCTGCTGTATAGGGTTGCCGACTGCCAAAGGGTTGAGCCTTGATAAGAGCACGAAGGGTCTACTCCAGCAGGACCTGCCGGGCAGTGCCGGCTCATACCCACGCTGTGTACAGAGATGAAAGCGAAGCCGCAGCCATGCGGCAGGGCCAAGCCCGTGGCGGAATCGGAACTGACTTCCGGTCGGCGAGCCCCGCATGTGGCCCTGCCGTCAATTTCCTTCTGTTCCGGTATGGCGTTGACCTAATAAGGCAAATAAACTAAAATTTCAAAATATTTCTTTATGGAAAGGGCGGGTCAGTGTGTGGAGGAGGGGGCGGGATCTGTTAGAGGGGGAATAAACCGCCGGCCGCCGGGACGCCAGCGACACTCGCGTCTGACGAAAACTCGCTCGTACCGCAAGCCCCCCCCCCCCCCCGGGCAGCTCCTCCGCTTTTCCTCCTGCTCCTCCGAAATCGTATTTCGGACGACCTCTTTTTAGCCCCCCTTCCCCCTTTCTACCCCCGGGGGAGTATCGTGCTCGCTGATCACTTGGCACGTCGACTTTAATCTCGTCAGAAACCCCCTCCCCCATATCTCGCATGCAGGGCGGACGCTCACCGAGGCTCTCGCAAAAGGGAATAATCTACCAAAATAAAAAATGGCAAAAATGGGCGCGAGCGACGCGCTTGGCCGTCCGGCCACGCGGAATCCTGGCGAGCGAGTCGCTTTTCGTCGCTCCGTCTCTGTCGCACTCATGGGGCTCTCCGTAAGGGTGCGAGAGAGACAGAGCGATCTTTCCGAAATCGCTCGGCTGGAGGAGCGGGACTGTCGGCAGTGGGTCATCTGTCTCACTCGGAATGAAGCCGCGGCGCAACATCCAATTTGCGAAAGTCGAGGCTACCGGTGAACTGGCGCGCCGTGGTGCAGGGCAGCAGGGCTGGCTGCCAGGGAGTGCGCACTTCTGCAGACTGATTCCGAGAGTCCTTTTCGTCGCTCTGTCTCGCTCGCACCTACAGGGGACGCCTCATGAGTGCGAGGGAGACAGAGCGACGAAAGCGACTCTCGGATTCAGAGCTGCTGGCTCCCAGCCCTTCGGCCCTTCGGATGTCTTTCAATTAGTCTGGCAAGCCGGGCGGCTTTCCAGCGCACTTCGGCAAAGGATGCCGTTTGGCACTCGACCGCAAAACGAGTCGTGTTTTTGGCGCATTTTTATACTTTTTTCTGCGAGCCGCGACCTTGGCCGTGACACTCGAAAGCGACTCGGCTCGACCCGTCCGAGACACTGGAAGAAAGTGGCCATTCTCGGGGGAAGCACTGGAGTGTTCGCGAGTATAGCTCACAAGTTTTTCCAAAGAGCTGAGCTGAACGAACCCAAGGCATTGGTTTACAGAGCGCCACAAAAAAATAATAAAAACCGCCAAATACGATGGAAATTTATGCGTATTGTTTGGTGTATTCTTTCATCTATACTCATGCATACGCCAAAACGCGGAGAGATACTTGGAGAGGTACTTCTCCTGGCCGCTGGATCTGCCCAGATCTGCCCTGGGCTGTTGGTTTCTGCCGGGTCTGAATGTGACGGCGTCTGAATAGCTTTGGCAAGACGTGGCGGGGGCAGGGGCGGAAAAGGGGGAGGAAGGGGGGGGGAAGCGCTCCTAAGCCGAGCAGGCCGGGCTGGTACACAAGATAGTTGATAGCATGCGGCCTTTGTGGAGGAAGAAACGGAACAACAACCAGCAGGGTGGGTCGAAGTCGAAATCCATGCAGGCGGCCGTGGCGGGGCCGTGGCGGTCGCAAGGCGGGCCCTTTGCTAGTGACGTGCCGCGGTGCAAGGGACGCGAGGGACGCTAGGGAGGGCCCCTGTCTCCACACAGGGCCCAGCCGGCCGAATCCGAGGAGGAGGTACCATCGGTCAGTCTCTCTCGCTCCTACACGGGACGCCCCGTGATTGCGAGAGAGATAGAGAAATATATATAGAGAGAGAGAGACCTCCTCTCGGAATCAGCCTGCAGGGCCCCCACAGCCCTCCGACCTTGCGGTTCGGCGCCGCCTTCTCAATCACTCACTCACTGCGTCTCTGTCGCGCTCATGGCGCGTTCCGTGGGAGTGCGAGAGAGACGGGAAGGCGAAACGACTCTCCGGACTCACCCGCCTGGCCCTTTGTCCGAGGAGGTCCACGAGGACCCCGCGGTCCGTGACACGGTGGACGCAGGGACAGCAAACGCCACACCACACGTGTCGTCGCTCTGTCTCTCTCGCACCGCCACGCCACGCCCCGCGAGTGCGAGAGAGACAGAGCGCAATGAGCGGGCAAGCCCCACCGCGCGGGAGGCCACAAAGTGCAATTAGGCCACGATTACTCTGTGTGCATTTTAAGCGCGCCATAATTCGCACAGCCATGATGGCGTTGCACAGTGGGCCAGAAGACCAGTGGAGTCGGTCAAAATCCCGGACGCGTTTTGAGCTCCAGAGTCGCTAAGCAGGACTCGAACCGAGCGTGTGACCCCAACAATGGATTCCTCGTTCGAAGAGCAATCCATTGATGGAGTCACACGTTCAGTTCGAGTCCTACTTAGCGGCTCTGCAGCTCAAAACGCGTCTAGAATTTTGGCCGCCCACACCGGTCCTCTGGCCCACTGTGGGACGCTTCACCTGCCGACTGCACACTGCAGGCTGCAGCGCCACTGCCGGACTCGCAACTCTATTACGAAGCCATTATATACGGCCTGCCGAAAAGTCGTTTTCGTCGCTCTGTCTCTCTCGCACCCACGGGGACGCCCCAAGCGTGCGAGAGAGACAGGGCGACCCTCGGAATCAGTCCGCCAGAACAGAGCAGCGTGGCGAAACAACGGCGCAGCTATCGAGCCCCTGCCTGTGCCTCTGCCCCAGCGTGCCCCTCAGACCGCCGGCACCGCCGGCACCGCCAGCCAGCTCACTGCAAGTACGTCGTTATCGAAACCCCACCCTTCCCGTTGTGGCGTTGTTTTGAGGCTCTCGACGCGCAGCGGCGTAGCGGCGCAGCATCCGCCGTGCTGCACCACCGTGTTGGTGCCGCCGAGTCTACTGAGCTACTCGGCAACGCACGTCGCGTCCACGTCGTCCACGTACGCCGAGTGAAAGAACAGTGCCGTGCCGCGCACCCCGCGGCGCAGCGGGGTGGCCGCGTGGGGCTGCCGCCGTGCCGCCGTGCCGCGCCGCCGCGCTCTAGCGGCGCCCCGATCCCGGATTCTGCTTTCAATGCTTTAAACCCGCCTTCTGCGTGAGCCCGGCCTCGAGCCTGGCCAACACCCGCCAAAGGCAGACCCATGTCGAGAGTCGTTCTCGTCGCTCTGTCTCTCTCGCACTTGTGGGGTACTGGGTGCGAGAGAGACGGAGGGCTGCAGGTGAAGGCCGCCGTGCACGACATGCAGGGATGCAGGGAGGAGAAAAACGGAAAGGACACTCACCTGTGCGCGAGTCGGGCGGGGTGGGGTCGAAGCAGACTCCTCTTCCTCCCCGCCCCCGGCTGCCCCCGGCCGCCCCCGGCCGCCCCCAGCCCCAGCCTGCCCCAGCCCCGCCGGTGTGACTACGAGTGTGCTAGCCGTAGGACGGGACTACGGTGGGCGGGCCTGGCCATGGCCTGGCGGGCCGCGAGTGAGACTATGTGTGCATGTTGGTCGACGGTGTGTGGGTCTGCCGCACCCGACGCCACGCGTTTGACAGGTCAATAAGTTGACAGGTCGGTTTGACAGTGCGCAAAGAGAGGTCCGTTAGGAAAGCGTCGAAGAGGCTGACGCGACGACGAGTTGACATGCTTAAGAGACTACGCGGGAAGGTGCTGGCGTTTCAAGAAGAAGACACGTCCCGGGCCCTTCAAGGCCCGCCCTTCCCGGGCGACGGGTCAAACAGTTAGTTCGTTACTGGCGTGTCATCGCTTTGGGCAGTGCCGAGGCAGTGCGGACACTGGTCGTGTCAGCAACATTATCGGGTGACTAGTAGACATGCCAGCAAGTTGACAGTCAATTAGTGGCGTGTGTGGGATGTGGACTTACTCGACGGGCTCGGGGCCGGCGGCAAGGCCGGCGGCATGGCCTGCGGCGGGGCGTCGGGGCGAGGGCCGCAGGGGGCGGGGGCGGCAGCAGAGCAGCGCCAGTCGGCCCTGGCGGCCAGCGCGGCCTGCGCGGCCGGCCCGCGGTGCGTCCAGCACGACCACGGAGGGCGCGCGCGCGCACTGCCGCACCTGCTGCAGCGACTGCACGCCGTCAGCCGCCTCCAGCTCCACGGCGTGGAGGCGCGGCAGGTCCGGCTCGGCCGTCACGTACACGCCGGAGAAGGCCGAGTTCCTCCTCGGCTGGAAGTGGTGCGGCCGCAGCGACAGGTAGCGGTACACGCGCTGCATCACCGCCAGCCGCACCTGCAACGCCACACACATTCAGATTCAAGTTCGAAGTGGCGCGGGCGCAGTGACAGGTAGCGGTACACGCGCTGCATCACCGCCAGCCGCACCTGCAACGCCACACACATTCAGATTCACGTTCGGATCGGATTGGGTTTGGTTTGTTTGCAGTGTACCACGCGGTGCATCCGCGCAGTGCCGTGGTGGCAGGAAGCGCCACGGGGAGGTACGCCGGGGGTGCCATGCAGGAACCGATGCACTTTCAGCGGCCCAGATAAGCTGCCCCCTGCAGCCCTTTTTCCCACCCCCGGGTGCCAGGGGCGGCACCCCGAAAGCCGCGGACAAAGCTTCGCGTACCTGCTGATAGCACCCCCGGCTAAATGCCCGCGCGGCGTGGCACGCTCTGGCGGCGCTTTATTCAAACACCGTTCGTGGCGTGGCGTGGCGATGCCGCCCTTTAGAGCCAGGGCGTGACTGGAGCCTCCTGGGCCGCCGGGCGCAGCGCGCAGCGCGGACTTTAATTTAGAGAGTCGTTTCCGCTCGACTCCAATCTGGATCAATGGGCGCAGCGCGGCGCAGCAGACTGATTCCGAGAGTCGTTTTCGTCGCTCGGTCTCTCTCGCACTCTTGGGGCGTCCCGCACGGGTGCGAGAGAGACAGAGCGACGAAAACGACTCTCGGAATCAGTCTGCAGCGAATTGCATCGGCGTGTCCGGAGGGACTGCAGCCGCCGCGCCGCCACCAGCCCCAGTCCGCCCCGCGCCTTGCTGGAGGCCGTGCTGGAGGACTCGGGGGGCCGCGCCCAGGCCGCGCCGTGGCGGACTAGTGCCAGTTCGAGGGGGCACGGGTAGTGGTGGGGGAGGTGGGGCGGAGAGAAGAGGCTATACAGAGAGCAACGTGTGTAGCGTGCACGTCTACCTACACACACAGACACGCACACACGCACACACGCACACACGCACACACTGACACTCGCTTCGGTAAACAGGAAACTGGGGACCGTGTGGGTCGGTGTGGGTGCTTGCTCACCTCCCCGTTGAGGAAGCAGTAGAGGCAGGCGATGAAGAGGCCCTGGAAAGAGGTGAGGAAGTGCGTGACGTAGAACCAGACGGCCACCTCCCAGACCTCGCGGTGCAGCGGCGGCGGCATGATGTTCGTCAGGTTGGTGATGCCCAGCAGCGGCAGCAGCACCAGGGCCGCGCGCACCGCCTTCCTGGAAGGGGCAATCAAGTTGCAAGAGGAACACAATCAGCTTCGAGGGCCGTTCGTCGTGGAACGCCGTGAAGCAAAACGTGATTCTGTTGGTTTTTTTCTTGCGTCATGTGCCTTTGTCGTGGTCCTACCTCAATTGCACCATTTCACTCGTTCTGCTCTGCCGTAGCTTGACCAGCAGGACTCGAATTATATTTAAGAGAAATAAAAGATTGAGCTGCAACAGAGAGCGAGGGGTGAGGGATGGAAGCCGGACAAGGAACGGAGCGGCAGGCTGACTCCGAGCGCCGAGTTGTTTTCGTCGTTCTGTCTCTCTCGCACTCGTGGGGCGTGCCGGTGAGACAGAGCGACGAGAACGACTCTCGGAGACAGTCTGCGGCTGTTGACGCTGTGGACGCCGTCCGGCCGTCTCGCTCGCACCCACCACAATGACCCCCAGTCGGGGCCCCTCGAGGATCCAGAAGTACACCTTGAGGTTGTAGTTCCGGAAGCACTCCTCGGCCTGCTGCAGCGCCGTCGTCACGGCCCAGCACGTCGTCATGACGACGGGCACGCCCCAGCCAATCAGCGTGTACAGCGAGTAGTAGAACGTCTCCTGGAACACGGTCACTGAAACCCGAACAAAATGACCACTTGAAATTGAAATTGCCCCCCGGCGACGCGAGCGCTTACTGCGTCCCGACCGTCTTGATGGGAAACGGGAACGTGCCGCGGCCTGGCGGCGCTCCCTCATCCCTTTTCCCTCCCGACTTCTTTTCCTCTTTTCCATCTTTCCCCGTCGCCGATGGGAAAAGCTCAGCTGTCGCGGACCTGCGAGGCGGCGAGGCTGCGCGCCGCGCGCCTCCGAGAGGGTAATTCATTTAAGCTCCGAGAAAGGGCTGCGCTTGGCGCCGCTTGGCGCCGCTTGGCGCACTCGCGCGCGCAGCTTGGCGTCCGGGTCGGTTCAGGTCGGTCCGGGTCGTTCCGGGTCGGTCCGGGTCGTTCCGGGTCGGTCCGGGTCGTTCCGGGTCGGTCCGGGTCGGTCCGGGCCGCGGAGGATATCGCCATGGCCGCGCAGCGCCCAGCCCTCTCGATAGATTAACGGGGGCAGTCTGTTGCATGTGCAGGGCCCTTCGTCCGGGGCCACGTCGAGGGGGATTTCGATTTGAACAAGAAGAAGAAGAATCGCAAAAAAAGCACAAAAAAAACAACTGAAATTTAATTTAGTGATCCCGCGTTGTTTGTCCCGTTTCGTCCCTCGTTGATTGTCCCTGATTCATCCCACCATCATGGCTCCAGCCAGAATTTCTTAGTTTCCATCGCTGAATGCAGTGTTGTGCAGATACAGGCCTTCAATAAATTGTAAAAAAAACGGAAGTTCAACCAGAATGATTTTTGAGTTCACCGTCCCTGAGTCATCCCCACCACCTTGGCTCCCCGAATGCAGTACCTGTCACCATGTTGTGCAGGTACAGGCCCTCGATGAACATCCAGAGGAACATGGCGGTCCTGGCGTACTCCATGAGCACGTAGGAGGCCTCGCAGAGCACGGGCTGGAAAGCATCAACACACAAAAATTATTAGCGGAACGCGCATTAAAACAACAAATGCCCGGCCTCAAAACAACACGTAAGTTTTAGGGGGAAAAAAAGTCCGCCGGGAAGGCACGCACAAAAGAGGGGAGGGGGAGGCAGACCGCGCACTTCTCGACGACCAGGGCCGCGGGAGGGGGCACGGCGGAGGCACGGCGTGGAGGATGGAGAGACGGCCTGCTGCGCTGCAAGGTTCGACTAATTTGAAAACGCTGACACAAGCCGTGGTGGAGAGCCAGAAAGTGAATGGCTCCGAGACTCCCCCTTGATTCGACCGCTGAAGTATGCAGCAGCGGCGGCGGCGGGGCGCCAGCCCGGCGCGGCGTCCGGGAGTCTTTTGTCTCTCTCCGCCACTTGGAGGCACGCCGGGGCACGCCGAGGCACGCCGGCGCCCTTTTCGCTCTCGCTCTCACTTTCACTCCTGGCGGTTCTGGCGTGGTCCTGGAGGTCCTGGAGGTCCTGGAGGTCCTGGAAGTCCTGGAGGTCCTGGAAGTCCTGGAGGTCCTGGAGGGTCTGGAGGTCCTGGAGGTCTGGAGTTCCTGGAGGTCCTGGAGGTCCTCGTGTGTCGCGAGGAGGCGCGTGCGGCGCGGCGGCCCCGTGGCCTAGATAGGATGGCCGCCGCAACTTCGATCCCGACAACAACAAGAGCAAGATGCTGCCACGAGCCATCAGGGCGGCCCGCGTGAGGGGAAGGCCTCGCCGGAGATAAACTGCGGCCGCACGAGCGAGGCGAGACCACGGCAAGGCGGTCCATGTCCGTAAGCAGTTTGAGGCCGACTCACAGAGTCGTTTTCGTCGCTCTGTCTCTCTCACGGGATGCCCTATGAGTGCGAGAGAGACAGAGTGGCGAAAACGACTCTCGGAATCAGCCTGCAGAGTCATTACGAAATTGGTGCCCGCTCTACCCACCAGGCCGGATCCCCAGTGCACCTGGTCCGCCCTCGGTGAGAGATCCCTAGCGGTCGCAGCGCTCGACCAAAGGTGGCGAGAGCCCGCACCACATAGTCCGCTACACTGGGTACACCGACCCGCCCGCCGCGCGCGTTCGTGTGGGCGTGTCCCCTGCGGGGTTCTCCTGGCAAAGGACCCCACCGTGAAAGATGGTAAAAGGGTAATATCCGAGGGTTGAAGGCTGGCGCCCCTAAAAAAACAGGCAAAATGAGGAAAAAATCTCATTCAACGAACGTTAATGAAAGCAGATGATACTTGTCTGGTGCTCCTGGTGTGGATTTTAAATAAGAGTTAGAACACATATGATTAAAGAATATATTTTCTAGGACGCGAATACCCTCTGCGCTGTAGGCGGGGAGAGAAAGTCAAGCCATTGTTGACGTCCGGCCGCTGGCGCTGTGCCGAAGAGGCATTGTCGAATTTCGCGCAGGCTGCGCGTCAGGCACGAACGCACCACCCGCCCCGGCAGCCAGCTCCTATTATATTGTTGGTTTCTGGACTCTCGAGTAAAAGCTAGCTGACACCTTTATGTGTCTTGTAGTTTTAGGTCTGTTAAAGGTAAAGGTATGGAAGGTATCATCTGCTAAAAATGCCGGATATGCCAGGATATATAAGGCTCTGTCGGCCAGCTAGTAGCTCGGGGAAAAGGGGGGAGGAGGCTGGGCGAAAACAAAGGTTTCAACTTCAGGCGTATATATCTGTTGAGCCGCGAGCGTTCTTGGGTTGGTTCATGTTCGGGAGGGGGTGAAGTAAGCTCTGCTTGCCTGGGTGCTGGCTGGCGGCCGGCGCGCAGTCGGCTAGAAGACCGGCCGGTGGAGGCCGTCAAAATCCCGAACGCGTTTTGACCTCCAGAGTCCGCTCAACAGGACTCGAACCGAACGTCTGACCCCACTAACGGATTGCTCTCCGAACGAGGAATCCATTGGTGGGGTCACACGTTCGGATCGAGTCCTGTTTAGCGACTCTGGAGCTCAGAACGCGTCCGGGACTTCGACCGCCTCCACCGGTCTGGCCTTGCGCCTTGCGGCCGGTGCCCGGAGCGCGGCCGGCGACGCGCGCGTCGAGCGGGCTGGCCGACCCTCGCCATGACAGGGGCTACGGCTACGAGTGTGCATTAACGATCCCGGGCGAGCCACGCCGAGCCACGCCGAGCCACGCCGGGCCGCGGCCCATGGGGCTTAGGGGTCCGGCGGGGATTAGTACGGCCGGGAGTAAAACGACGAGCAAAGAGGCCAAACGAGGATACAGGGACTGTTAATGAGCAAACATGGACGGGCTCCATGTCAGCCACCTCCCGCAAGGTTCGCCAGGTTGGCGGGCTCGGCGGGCTTCGCAACAAGCAGCATGTTTCACGCTTCCTTCGCCCCTTTGTCCTCTTTGGTTCGAGATAATTGAGCGACGCCTGACTCGGGCCGCGGCGCCGAGGCGGCGCCGAGGCCGGCCGCGGCCGCGCGGGTCATCTCCGGCGACACAAAGTGTGTGCCCACCGCAAAACGCCACTCCACTCCGTACTTTGGCCGCGGCGCGCCGTTCTCCCGATTTTTCCCGATTATTTCCCCCCCGGGCCTCCCCCCCCCCCTTTCCCCGTTTTTAATTAAAAGGGCTGGAGGTCTGCGAGGGACGCAGGGACGAAGGGCAGCCCGTATGGAAGGGAAAGGGCGCCGCGTCGGTGGGCACATCAGCTTAAGGGCCGACGGGCCCGACCCTTCAGAGTTTCCGGTCTGCACCCAATGAAAAGGATCTGGTTTGACGGTACCGACGCCCCCCACCCCCTTTTCAGGACCAGGATCTCTAGGGTTGCCATTGCCATTGCGTTGACTAAGAGCGGAAAGGTGGGCCCGAAATCAGCATCAAGGCGGATGTCATTGAGAATGCGTGCGGGTCGCATCGGCCCGCCTCGCCTTAGTCCGGGCTGCTCCAATGGCCTGCCGCGCAGGATTATCGGAAAGAAATGTAATGGATAACTCAGATCTGTGTGTGTGTGTGCGTGCGCGCACGTGCGTGTTTGTGTCGGTGTGCGTGCCTACGTATGTGTGTGTGTGTGTGTGTCAGTGTGCGTGCCTACCTAGGTGTATGTATGTATGTATGTATGTGTGTGTGTGTGTGTGTGTGTGTGTGTGCGTGCGCGCGCGCACGTGCGTGTGTGTGTGAATAGTCGGCGAGGGCAGCACGCGGTGGGGCGCCGGGGGCGCAGCCGAGCAGCGGGGGCGACTTACAAGGCCGCCCTTTGATGTGGCGGAGGAAGAAGGAATCGGGGGAATCCGTGGCCGGGCAAAAATACGACCGAGGCCGAGAATGCGGCCGGAGTGCGCGGCTTAGTTATCGATGTTCCATCGCAGTGGCACGCAGTGGTCGGACTCTCCATTGAGGAGGCGCGGCTCGGCACGGCAGGCCGGGCTCGCCGCGAAAACATGAAATGATCCTGTCGTCATCGCCAACAACTTTTTCAGGCTGGCAGGCTAGCTGGCGGACTGACCACGCCGCGCTCGGTAGACCGGAAGACCGGTGGAGACGGTCAAAATCTCGGACGCGTTTCGAGCTTCAGAGTCGCTAAATGGGACTCGAACGGAACGTGTGACCCTACCAATGGATCGCTCTCCCAACGAGGAATCCATTGGTGGGGTCACACGCTCGGTTCTAGCCCCGCTAAGCGACTCTGGAGCTCAAAACGCGTCCAGAATTTTGGCAGCCGGCGCCGGGCCCACTGTGCGGCGACTCAGTCCGCGGGGACCCCGATAAGAGAACAACACTTTCCACTCGGTCTACCTGAAGTGCAAGTGGGGAGGCCGCGGCGGAGGAGAGGGCGACGGCAGAGGGAGTGGGGATCATGGAGGAGAAGGCGATGAAAAAAGTGCGCGGCGGCGGTGCAAAATGCAGGCAGACTCCGGTCGAGGGAGCGGGATGGGCACCGCATCGCCCCGCATCGCCACCGCACCCATTAGCGAAACGAAATAGGAGTAAAACCTACGCCATGGCGCGCCACCACTCCAGCGGTCGGGAAAACCGCAGGCAATGTGCCGAGGACCGTCGAGGAGGCCTCCGTCCACACGTTCCAACGATTGTTTGCTTTTTTATTTCATTTTTTTTTCAAAGTCTCTTGAATGCTGCCTCTCACTCCATTAACGGACGGGACACTTCTCGCGCAGTTGGAAATAAATGAGACCGGCAGAAATGACCCGAACCCCGCCATCGCCATCACACTGCCCGGCGACGCCTGGCGACCTTGCGGACTCGTGGGCGCGTTCCTTCCAGAGAGGAGGAGGCAGGAGGCCAGACTACTTATAACTCGCAGAGTTGACTGGACGCCCCCCCCCCCCCCGCCCCATCCTACCCAAAAACCACCCCGCCCCGCCCCGCCCCACCGAGCGGATTCCACAGCGAACGAGTTTCCTCCGGCGTCCTCAAGAGGACCCCACTCGGAAACGCCACGCCACGCCAAGCCACGCCAACTGCGCGCTTCACGCGTCGCCGGGGCCAAAACGCCAAAACGTCGCGGCATGTCTGCGTCCGCGGCCAACCGCGACGACAGCGCCACCGATCGGCGTCTTTGATCGCTCTGCTGAAAACCCCCCCCCCCCCCCCCCCGGAGCCAGCGTGTGAACCGACCCCCGGCCCGTCCCCGCCGCGCTGCCGTGCCGATCTGTGATTAGCCTTCGGCTTGCCTCCCCGAAGGCCGAACCTGCAGACTGATTCCGAGAGCGGCTCTATCTCTCTCGCACCTATACGGGACGATCCATGCGTGCGAGAGAGACAGAGCGATGGAAACGACTCCCGGAATCAGTCTCTCCCGGAATCAGCTGCTGGCGAAGCCTGGAAGGCGATGGCGGCGATTCGGGGACACGGTGGACGCGCCCTGCACCGGCCCGTGCAGACCGTGACGGCGATGGATGAACCCCGCCCGCCCACCCCCACGCCGTGCTGTCTCATTTTGCGGGGTGTTATATATCGCGGCCGTCACGCGCACGGGCTGAAACCTGAAGGACACCTGATGGGCACCTGGTGGGCACCTGGAGGATGGGCATCTGGAGGATACGTGGTGTGTACTTGGTGGACACCTGAAGGTCATCTGGTGGGCACCTGGAGGACACTTGGTGGGCATCTAGAGGACACTTGATGGGCATCTGGAGGGCACGTGGGGTTAACTTGGTGGACACCTGAAGGACACTTGGTGAGCATCTGGAGGACACTTAGTGAGCATCTGGAGGACACTTAGTGGGCACCTGGAGGACACGTGGTGTGCACATGGTGGACACCTAGAGGACACTCGCGGGCTTTCCCGCGGTCTGGTCTAGCCGTGACACGACACGCACGAAGGCCGAAGCCCGCACGCGAAGGTTAGCGCTGGACGGCGCAGGGTGGTGGGGGAAGAAGGTTGCCTACCGTGGTATGCACGAAGCCCTGCTGCATGCTGCTGGGGATCGTCACGCTCTTGTCGATGTACAGCGTGAGCCGGATCACCACCTGCATGAGCATGGCGATGAACAGGTTCTTGTGGATCCTCGTCCGGTTGTTCCTGAGGCTCCTGCAACAGCGATGCCGCCGCGTTAAACAGACTTACCGAAAAAAAATGGTACCGATCTCAACGTTAAAAATAATTTTGAGAAAATAGGTTTAAGGGGAAATTAATGGTTGGGGGAAAATTGCATTGGGAAATTTACATTAGAAATAAAGGCTTTAAGAACATTCTCCATTGGGCAAATGGTTTTAGGAAAATTGACCGGGAACCCCGTAAGACAGTTATTTTTGAATGCGTTCCGTGTTTTGAGTCTTTCAGGGATTCCAAAGTTTTCCTTTTGTACTTATAGCAGTGTGGACGAATCGGGATGAAAACGAAGTCACCGGCAGGCACTCCCACAGCCTGTTGCTGCCTTTTAGCTAACGTCACGCAATTAATAATGAGGATCTGTTCCGCGCGGAATACGAAGGATCTCAAGGCGCGTCGAATCCATCCTACAGCCATATTTACTTCAAGATCCTAAGTATTGTGTTTGCTTTAACGAATACGTAAATGAGAAGTAATTCAGTGAAGAGGATCATAGTGCTTGTCGGGCAGGATGTGCCCACCCGACGTGCCACTCCTTGCTCCTTGTGGCGGCGCGGCCCGGGAGGGGGGGGGGGGGTAGGGTAGGGCGGGGCGGTGTGAGGCACGGTGGGGCGGGGCGAGGTGTGGCGGGGCGGGGCGAGGGATCCGCATTCGGCAGGTTAAAAAGGCACGCGGCGCGCACTTGAAACGCGGGCCGCTGGATGGAGACGTCCCGATCCAGGTCGGCGGCGGGGGAAACTTAGTCGCCGGCTTCAGCCTTCGGCTTGCCTTCGGCTTGGGCTTCGGCGGGGGCGCCGGAGCGTCAGGTTGCCGTTACGCAAGTGGGCGGTGCGTCAGTCACGTTGCGTCACTGCCGAGAACAACCCCGGGCCGCCCCTCCACCGCCAGCCCCGCCAGCCCCCGCGCGGGGTTCTTACGTAAAGCCAATCTATGTCGTGTGCAGTCCTGTACCCGACCCGCAGCGACGCCGAGACCTAAGTACACCAAGTACACGGCGTACACCAAGTACACGGCGTACACGGCGTACACGGCGTGCACGCGGCGCAGCAACTCGACACGCGTCGCTGCATGTGCCAGGCCGCGCCGCGCCGAGCAGAGCCGCCGCGCCCTCTTAGCAGCAGACTTATTAATTCGTCCGTAAAGTTAGACTCGCGTCCCGCCGACAGCGTTTTATTGGATTCCCCCGCTTCGCCGCGAGCTTAAGCGTATTTCTCATCGGCGAATCAAACTTGTGGGACGGAAGGCGGGGGGGGGCAGCATTGGGCCTGAAGCAAGTCGTATTGCCTGACCGATATTGAGAGATGCACAGCCTTCGCGTGGCCGGCCTGGGCTGCACAGTGGGCCAGAAGACCGGTGGAGGCGGCCGAAACTCTAGACGCGTCTTGAGCTCCAGAGTCGCTGAATGAGACTCGACCCGAACGTGTGGCCCCACCAATGGGTTGCTCTCCGAACGAGGAATCGGTTCAAGTGCTGTTTAGCGACTGCGGAGCTCAGGCCGCGTCTAGAATTTTTGACGCTCCTCTGGCCCACTGTGGGCTGGCTGGGGCTGGCCACATGCCGTGTTGCGTAATGCCGTTTCTTTCCTATATTTGGCTGATTTGACGATACTATTTGTAGTCCTCGGATGGATACAGGCACCAATAGGACGGAAAAATCAGCAAAACATAGATAGAACAGCTATTGGCGGTCGGGTTGGTGGAGAGTGCGTTCGGAGTAGGGTGGCCCGCCGCCCTGGGGCTTCGGTACGAGTTTGTCGCACTTGGCCCTGGGACTACACCAACAGTGGAATCAGTGCAAACACGAAAGGGTACGTTGCGGGCCACACTGTAATAACAGAAAAACTGCGCGTCCCGCACCATTTGGTTCTTTTCAAATCATCTGGACGACAAAAAATGCATGAGAAACGTGGGAGTCGCACAGTGGGCCAGAAGACCGGCGCCGGTGGTGAAAACTCTAGACGCGTTTAGAGCTCCAGAGTCGCTAAACAAGACTCGAACCGACCGTGTGACCCCACCCATGGATTCTTCGTTCGGAGAGCGATGCATTGGTGGGATCACACGATCGGTTCGAGTCCCATTCAGCGACTCTGGAGCTCAAAACGCGTCCGGGATTTCGACCGCCTCCACCGGCCTTCTGGCCCACTGTGAGTGTGCGTCGCCTTTGCGATTGCCGCGGCAAACTCTGTTCAAACTACTTGATCAGCCAGGCGGCGGCACGCGGCGGAACTCGTCGTGCGGCACCGAGGCCACACGCTGTTTACACTTTGTAGGCGGCCTGGCGAGGTTAGGTTCGGCAAGCACGGCCTTGTGCTCGGTCCGGCCGGCGAACGCTTCGGCGAACGCGGCCACCTTGAGTCCACACCTCAATGCGATTCAATGGTTCCGCTCAAACGGGCGGCTTCGGTCCCCGTTTCCAGTTAGCTCCCCCGGAGCGAGGCTAGGCCGTGCGCGGCTGGGTGGCGCGAGGCCGGCCGGCGCGAGGCTAGTTCGAGGAAGGCTGGGCTGGACGGGGTGAGGCTAAAGAGCGAGGATGGGGCGGCGAGGGGGTAAACACTTCAAGAAATCGTGAACAGACTACTCGGTATTACGCTGTATTACGGTGTATTACACGTGTATTACGGCCTTAAAATGCCAAAATTTGGCACATTTGACCCAAAAATGGTATTACGATCACGTGTATTACGCGTAATACACGGTTTTGGTGTACAGGGTATTACGCGAGTGGTTACCCCCTCGTGGGGCGGCGCGAGGCTGGAGGGCGCGCGAGGCTAGACGGCGCGAGGCTAGACGGCGCGAGGCTAGACGGCGCGAGGCTAGACGGCGCGAGGCTAGACGGCGCGAGGCTAGACGACGCGAGGCTAGACGACGCGAGGCTAGACGGCGCGAGGCTAGACGGCGCGAGGCTAGACGGCGCGAGGCTAGACGACGCGAGGCTAGACGGCGCGAGGCTAGACGGCACGAGGCCAGGAAGGCTCTCCGGGGGGCGTCTCCGGCGGGCGGCAGAGCCCACCGGAAGTGGAGCCATTGGACCGGAAACCGGGCGATGATGCCCTTTTCCTCACGGCTGGCCAGGCGTAGCAGGCGGCCGTGGTCCCGCAGCCGGAGGAGTGGCGATGTTCCCCGAGTCCACGGAACAACGGAGCGCTTGCGCGGCGCCGCGCAGCGTGCTGGCTGGAGGCTGCGCGCGGGGCGCTCCGGTGCGGCCGGAACCTCCACTGGCTACTCGCCTGGCTGGAGTGGTGCCCCGGAGGAAAACAAGGAGATGGTGCCCGCCTTCACTGCGCAACCACTGTAAACTCCACACTTGGAAGTGCGGAGTTTGCAGTCGGCCACACTCACACAGAGGGCCACAAGGCCGGTGGGAGATGGTCAAAATCCCGGACGGTTTTTGAGCTCCAGAGTCGCTAAATGGGACTCGAACCGAACGTGTGACCCCACCAATGGATTACTCTCCGAACGAGGAATCCATTGGTTGGGTCACACATTCGCTTCGAGTCCTATTTAGCGACTCTGGAGCTCAAAACACGTCGGTCTTCTGGCCCACTCTGAAGTGTGGAGGTCTTCACGTTTGCACTATGACAAGGGATCTGGGCTCTGTGAGTTACACTTGCAGTGTCGAGACGTCCAACAGTGGGGAATTCCTCTGCACCAAGTAGAAGAGCAGAGTACTCGAGTTCTCCTCACTCGGTTTGACAGTGTCGAGTCGCTGTCGTTTCGAGCGGGCAGTCAGAACCAAGACGACGCCGTCAGCCAGTCGTCCGGGGCGGCACGGCCGGCACGGCCGGCACGGCCACGGCACTGCGTGTCTGGATGTTTCCCGGACTGGTCAAACGGACGGCGCTGCAAAGTTGGCAGCGCGGGCCGGGGAGAAGGGCGTAACTGCGCGGCCTTGAGTCCGGCGATGCGGGGTTGTCGCCAAGGGCGGCCAGCCGGTCAAGTTTGGTCTCCGTTGTTCCTCTTTCGGCGAGACGGAGCTCCGCCGGCCGGAGACGCGCTGCCTTGCATAACTAGTGCCGCTGCGCCTCGCCGCGCCGCGCCGCGGGGCTTTTGATCGCTTATTCGCAGCGGACAGTCCGCGCCGTTGGTCCGTCCCGGTCCGTCCGCACGGACAGCCAGCGGGCTGACTAGCACCGTCTCTCTCGCACTCGCGGGGCGTCCCGAAGGCGCGCGAGAGAGACCGTCCCGAATCAGCCCGGCGGCCGACCCGCCCGCGCTTCCACCGACTCGCTGAGCTGCATTACTTATCAAAGACTGTATCGGGCTGCACGTGAAAGACACTACGCCCGCAAGCGGTTTCGCAAAATAGAGAGAGGAAAGGGGCGGGAATAAAAATACGGCGAGGGTCTTTACGTCGACGACGGAACCTCATTTTTGAAACGTTGCTGCAAATTTCCGGAGCGCAATCGACATTCGCGCGGCAGAAGAGGCCTGCGCTTTGGGCCATCGTGCGGGCCGGTGGGGGGTTTGGGGGGGGGGGGGTTCAGAGGAGGGGGTTCAGAGGAGGGGGTTCCCTCATGGCATCGAGATAGCCGCCTGAACGCGCCTGAAGGGTAGGCAAAAAACCGTACTTTTAGCCCTGTACGTGGGCAAAAAGTGCTAGTGTGCCTGCTGCCCCCAACGGCCGACTCTGGATCAGCTACTGTGGGCCAGAAGACCGGTGGCGGCGGTCAAAATCGCAGACGCGTTTTGAGCTCCAGAGTTGCTAATAAATGGGTCTCGAACCGAACGTGACCCCACCAATGGATTGCTCTCCAAACGAAGAATCCATTGGTGGGGTCAGACGTTCAGTTCGAGTCCTGCTTAGCGATTCTGGAGCACAAAACGCGTCTAGAGTTTTTGCCGCCGGCGCCAGTCTTCTGGCCCACTGTGGCGCGGGCTGCCTCCCAGGCTGAGTGGCCCGATAGCAGGTTTGCAGCGGGTTAACCTGCCGGAGAGAGGGTAAAGGCGGCTCCATTACCTGGAAACCGCCGTGGAACCTCCGTGGAACCTCCGTGGAACCTCCCTTACGCCGCGCGCGCGGCGCCCCTGCATCAGGGTTGTTAAAGTTAATTTTTTTGGTTATCGAGTTATCGTTAAGTTAATTTCCGACCCCTGTTAACGATAACTAGTTAACGTTAACACCTTTCGGCCACGTTATCGAGTTATCGATAAGTTACTTTTAACGAAAATCGTTAAAAGTAACTAACTTTTTAAAAAAATTGGATGAGGGAATGAAGGAAAATAAAACACAACATTAAATGCTCAAAAGTAGTGTCTAATTGGACTAATATGTATGCATTACCGATCTTTAAATGATAAAATAAATACAATCAGGAATAGGGAGTTGAAAAGATCAAAATTAAAAATTCTACAAACTTATGCTGACTGACTAGCGCGTTAGTAAGTGACTAGCGACGACTTACTCCCAGTACTGACCTAACCTACCACTACCGTCGGGGCACGGCGAAGTGCTAGTGGCACAAAAACACGAAGGTCAGAACGTTTTTTCTGAAAAATTTTGCGGGCATTTCTACGTTTTGGGGAATTAGTTACTTTAGTTAATCGATAAGTTAACCGGAATCGTGTTAACGATAACTCGATAACGATAACTGGTCTGCAGGATGTTATCGAGTTAACGTTAACCGATAAATTAACTTATCGAAAATCGATTATCGTCGTTAATCGTTAAATTAACTTTAACAACCCTGCCCTGCATCACTCTCGCGGGCCCGCGCGATCGTATGCTAAAAGCGCGTTCGCGTGTGTGCACTCGTGCGTGTATGTTGTCCGTGCGCGTGTGTGTGTGCACGTGTGTTTACACACACATAAGGGCCGGTGCCGCCTCCTGCATTTCTCATCCAGGTGGAGAATGTAAACAGTGTTTGTTGAACCAATCTGGATCCCGGTTTGGCTCCATTGAGATGAAAATGATATGTTCGCCGCGGCGCCGCGGCTCCGCCCCAAGTTGGCTGGGAAAACAGGCGGCGCACAGTGGGCCAGAAGACCGGTGGAGGCAGACCAAACCCTAGACGCGTTTTGAGCTCCAGAGTCGCTAAATGGGACTCGAACCGAGCGTGTGACCCCACCAATGGATTCCTCGTTCGGAGAGCAATCTATAGGTAGGGTCACACGTTCGGTTCGAGTCCTATTCAGCGACTATGGAGCTCGAAACGCGTCTAGAGTTTGGTCCGCCTCCACCGGTTTTCTGGCCCACTGTGCGGCGGGCCGAGGCGGGCCGCGGCCGTGCAGAGTGGTGCAATATGGAGGCGCACAATGAGCAAGGCGCTGTGGACCCACCGGAAGTGGAAGAAAATGGCGAGGGAAACCAGCAGGGCGGCCAGGGACACGCTCAGCCCCACCATCTCCAGCGTCCTCGTCTTCCCGACTATGTTGAGCTTTTCCTGCGCAAACGCACACATTGTGATTAATATGAAAATGAGTCACGTTCTACGGCGAGCAGCGTGGCTGGCATGGCCCAGCGCGGTAGACTGATTCCGAGAGTCGTTTTTGTCGCTCTGTCTCTCTCGCACCCATACCGGGCACCCCATGAGTGCGAGAGAGACAGAGCGATGACAACGACTCTCGGAATCAGTCTACTGGGCGATGGCAGCTCGAATAATCCGATTCAAAAAGTGCACAATGCACCCACATTGGCGGACTCCTCGCCGCCGCTGTACAGCGCCTTGATGAGGTCGGCTATCTCGTCGCGGTAGCAGCCCGAGAAGTTGGTGTAGCCCCAGGGCGCGGTGGCGTTGGGCGAGTCGGACCGGCCTTCCCACTGGCCGCCCAGCCCGCAGCGCTTCGACACCAGCTCTGCAAAAGAATCGAAACGCGGGTTTGTAAAGCGGAGCTGGAACCCGGGGTCACACAGTGGACCAGAAAACCGCTGGAGACGGTAAAAATTCCGGACGCGTCCGGACGCGTTTTGAGCTCCGTTACCCAATCGGACTCGAACCGAACGTGTGACCCCACCCATGGATTGCTTTTCGAACGAGGAATCCATTGGTGGGATCACCCGTTCGGTTCGAGGTCTGTTTCGCCACTCTGGAGCTCAAAACGCGTTTTAGATTTTTCGCCGCCCCCCACCGGTCTTCTAGCTCGCTGTGGTTGGCGTGGTGTACACTCACTGGTGGGGTCCACGTCGGGGTGGCCCTTGGGGCAGAACTGCTTGACGGTGTCGTTGGCGCGCGTGGGCGGCCAGCACAGAAACGTGTCCCACGTGAAGCTGCAGTGGTCCCCGCGGTCCCCTGTCGGCAGCGAGACAACACTGCAGTTGACAAAAAAGTGACTGAGTCCGAGCCAAATAGGACACAGAAAAAGAACTCTGTCGGGGGCGAGGAACGCCCACCGCCGTCGTCGCAGCCAGAAGCAATAATTGATTAGTGCTCCGACCGTCAATACTGTATTTCCAATCTGGAGGTGATCCCCGCGCCTTCCCACCGACAACTCTCTCATCACTAAGATAACAGCCGCTCGCCGCAGGCCGCCCCCGCGAGAGAGAGAGAGAGAGAGAGAGAGAGAGAGAGAGAGAGAGAGAGAGAGAGAGAGAGAGAGAGAGAGAGAAGACAACTCGGCAACCGTTTCCCAGATTAAGTTTTCCTTGAAACATTTTCGCCGTAATAAAGTAAAGACGCCGGAGACGTTTGTGCCGCCACACAGCAAAAGCAAGCACACAAACAAAAAGGGAACACCAACGCGTAGATTGCAATTTTTTTTATTTTCTCGGCGTTGGCGGCAGGCACATTATTATTTAGGCTTGTAAATTGGTAATGTTGACACTGGGTCGAAAGGTTATATTCTGGCGTTATAAAGAAGAGAGAGAGAGAGAGGGACTCCGTATTCTTGGGACGTCGACACGTTTACGGGGGGCAGAGGTGAGAATAGCACGGCCCCCGCCGGAGAGAGAGAGAAAGAGAGAGAGAGAGAGAGAGAGAGAGAGAGAGAGAGAGAGAGAGAGAGAGAGAGAGAGAGAGAGAGAGAGAGAGAGAGAGAGAGAACAGAGGCAGCCAGCCGACCGCTCACCCTTATACTTTAGTTTACTTGTCGGGCTGCCCGCTCCACTTTGTTGGCATTGGATCACCCCCTCTCTCTCACTCGCACTCATGGCTGCCCACTAAGAGGCACACTTTGCGGATAAGGGGGTCGATCCGAACGCGTCCGAAGCGCCGCCCGGCCGCGTCCGAAACTCGAGGGGGTAACCACTCGCGTAATACCCTGTACACCAAAACCGTGTATTACGCGTAACACACGTGATCGTAATACCATTTTTGGGTCAAATGTGCCAAATTTTGGCATTTTAAGGCCGTAATACACGTGTAATACACCGTAATACAGCGTAATACCGAGTAGTCTGTACACGATTTCTTGAAGTGTTTACCCCCTCGCCGAAACTCGTTCGGAGCGCGTTCCGAAGCGCGTAGCGCGTCGCCACAAAGGACTCGGATTGAGAACACCTGTTACGCCACTCGGAAGCCATTGAATGCGGGGCAGGGCGGGGCAGGGCGGGGCGCGTCCGAAAGACGATTGTTTGAAACGGGCGCGCGGCCAAGCGGCGCCTTGCCCTTTCCGGTGTGGACCCTAGCTAATTGGTTCTTCAAATATTCGTGGTTTTGGCAAACTCTAAAACTGTCTGGCAGCAGACAAAAGTAGGAAGAGTCCCTCCCGTTCCCTTCGGCGGTGCCTTGCTGCCAGCCCGGCGTCCCCCTCGACAACCCGAGCCAGCCAGCCAGAGCCAGGTTAAGTGGGCCAATTTAGCTACTGACCCTCAACATGATAATCCCAGAGCGGAGAAGAAAAGAAAAGAGACAACACGGCAGGGAAAGGACCAAGAGGACGCGACGCGCGACGCGGCACCAGTGCTTGGCTTTGTTTGCTCTCATTACGGAGACGATTTCGTGAAGCAAGCCAAGCAAGCTGCGCGCCAGGACGGCCCAGGACTAGGACCGCTAGGACCCACCGTGGACCTCGCTCGGATGGCCGCCCAGCCAGCCCGGGGCGGGGCCGTCTCTCTCTCTCTCTCACCCTCTCAGTGAGAAGTAGAGTCCGGCAGGTGCATGCCGCACAGACAACTGGACCGTGTGGAACACAATCAAAAGCAAAAAAAAAAAGCGCCCCAAAAATGAGGGGAAAAATGCTGAAACAAATTGCTGAAAGTTTGAACCAGCCTGGCCGGCCGGCCTGTGGCGACTCCGCGCGGGCCTTCAGCCTACAGCCGTCGGGAGGTGGCGATCGTATCGGCCAGTTTGCCATCGCGACTGTCAATTCCCCCTCCCTCCACCACACACAAACACAACACAACACAACAAAACACACACACACAATAATGGAAGTCGCTGGCGCCGAGGGCCCAAGGGCTACAGAGTGTACGAGAAAGGCAGGTCGGCCCAGGACGGCGGGCTGCCTGCTGATTGGGGCCCGGATGCCACGTGACTGGGTGAGGGCGCGCTCCCCTCCGGGCCACCTGTGCCCCGCCACGTCCCACTGCGCCCCGCCGCGCCCCGCCACGCCCCGCCACGCCCCGCCTCGCGCCAGCAGATGCCGTTCACACATATTCATGTGGAACCGTCGCGTCGTCACGCCAGCAGAAGGCTTGAAAGCGCTTCGCGGCAACGTGCCACGCCGCGCCACGCCGTGCCATGCCGTGCCGTGCTACGCCACGCCGTGCCACGCCACGCCGTGCTCGGCACCAACTTGCAGCACCCACACTGCCAGCAGGCGTCTTGATGCACTCACATGCAGCTTGAAAAGTGTGCTATGGTTTTGAAAAATGCAGCTTGAGAAGTGTGCTGTTTTATATGGTTTTGAAAAATAAGTACAGTACAGTACTGCTCACTGGGCTGAGGCCTGGAGCGGCTGTCCTGTCCAGCCGGGCCGCACAGACAAATTTTGAATTAAGAGAGGCAAAGCGTGACAGAACAAGAGAAAGTGACGGAAATTCAGCCATTTAAAAAAAAAGAGAAAAAAAAGAAGAAGTATAAAACGTGTAAGTCATTGTTTTTAAAAAATGCCTCCCCAGAAAAAAACAACAAAAGAATACTTGAGAACAAAACAAAAAGGCACAAGAAAGTTGGCGAATCGTTTCCGCTCGACTGTCTCCGCGTGACGTCCTTTTCTTCGACGACTCCGCCATGGACTCCGCCATGGACTCCGTCATGGACTCCATCCATTGTCCGGTACGATGGGCGGGCTCCGCGCTCACTGCCTCACTGCCTCGCCCGGTGCAGCCCCGCCACTCTCCACGCAAGACTCTCGCTTTCGCGCGCCAATGCCAACGACACCTTGGAATCGCCGTACAGTGCCTGTCCCTCTCGGTGCGGAAACCAGTTTGTTGGTAGTATCGGGCCAGGCGTCGGCGGGAAAACATCCTGTTACCGGCGAAACACGAACCAGGGTGCTAACGCGGCACGGGTAGGCGGACGAGCGGACGGACGGACGGAGTGATGGACAGACAGACCCATGGGCTGCCCACGCCGGCAAAGCAAGGCACCGACTGGCAGGACGTCAGCTGCGTGAATGGCTGTCGGGCTGCCTGGCGGCCCGGCCGGCACACCGTGGCGTTCACCATGGCGTGGCGGCACCGTGGCGTTCACCACGGCGTAGCGGCTACATGGCGTTCACCATGGCGTGGCGGCACCGTGGCGTTCACCACGGCGTAGCGGCAACATGGCGTTCACCATGGCGTGGCGGCACCGTGGCGTTCACCATGGCGTTGGGGGTACCATGGCGTTGGGGGTACCATGGCGTTGGGGGTACCATGGCGTTGGGGTACCATGGCGTTGGGGGTACCATGGCGTTGGGGGTACCATGGCGTTGGGGGTACCATGGCGTTGGGGGTACCATGGCGTTGGGGGTACCATGGCGTTGGGGGTACCATGGCGTTGGGGGTACCATGGCGTTGGGGGTACCATGGCGTTGGGGTACCATGGCGTTGGGGTACCATGGCGTTGGGGGTACCATGGCGTTGGGGGTACAATGGCGTTGGGGGTACCATGGCGTTGGGGGTACCATGGCGTTGGGGGTACCATGGCGTTGGGGGTACCATGGCGTTGGGGGTACCATGGCGTTGGCGGCACCATGGCGCGCCGACTTGCTGGCTTGTGGTGCAGCGGGTTCGCGCGGTGCGGCGGATTCCGGTAACCGGGCCCGGACAAAAGCCGCGGGAACCGTACCGGATGTGGATACGATTCAATCAGAGCAGCGACGCCGTGCGACGCCCCGCGCGCTTTGCTGGGGGCCACACCCCGTCCCGCACCCCGTCGAAGGGCCCTTATTTACGCGGAGCCCTGCGAAGCACTGCGAGGGCATGTGCAAAATCAACACCGCTCCGCCACACCGCCGAACCGCCACCGCCGTGCCGGTTGCAGACGTGTTACCCCGCGGACTCCGCGGACGCGACCCGGAGGTGCCCGAGGGCCCCATCATCTCGCTCACCACCTGGGTGGTCTCTGGGGTCCCTGCGGGCCCCGAAGCCCCTGGGCGCCCCTGGGCCGGCCCTATCGTTTTCCTATACCGTCCGTCCGCTAGGAACAGCGGCCCGCGGCCCCGCGGCCAGTGCAGTGCAGTGCCTGCCAGAGCCCCTCTCTCTTGCTCGGTGCCTCCCACCACCTCCTCGCAACGCTTCGCCCGCTTCAACCTCGCCGCCACGCGCCGCCCCCGCATTGGATTCCAATGGGGCGTACGCTGCGTACAGCGCGGTCCGACCACGGCGGTCGCACGCCGAGCCGCGCACAGTGGGCCAGAAGACCGGTGGAGGAGGCCAAAACTCTAAACGCGTTTTGAGCTCCTAAGTCGCTAAATGGGACTCGAACCGAACGTGTGACCCTACCAATGGATTGCTCTCCGCACTAGGAATCCATTGGTGGGGTCACACGTTAGGTTCGAGTCCCATTTAGCGACTCTGAAGCGTCTAGAGTTTTGGCCGCCTCCGCCGGCCCTCTGGCCCACTGTGCGGCGCCCGCCGCGCGCCCGATTCCGCTGCCCGCACGCCTCTCTGTCTCTCTCGCACTCGTGGAGCGTGCCGTGGCCGTGCGAGAGAGACAGAGCGAGGAACGCAGAATCGCTAGACCGTTTGCGCCACACGCTTTGGGCTGCCGAGCCGCCGAGCCGAACCACTCGGAAAACTTGCGCCAAAGTGCCGCGGCCGCGACGGTTGCACTTTCCGACGCACACTGGGCCGATCGAGGGCCGATGCACTGCATCGCATGCACTGCATCGGTTGCAGGCGCAGCGGGACGCATGCATTTCGTTT